ATAGCTGAGAGCGAAAGCAAGAGTTAAGACCCAGCCTGTCGCCCTGTTACTGCCGAAAAGTAAACGACGACAATGAAGAGTTTACCAAAGTAAAAATTAAAGAGATAGGAGTAGTAGGACAGTTTTTACTCTGCACGGCAGCGCGCCATCAGTTCAGAGATTAACGACAGCAATCTCAGTCCCCACGCCGGTAGCCAACCTCCGATGTAGTTTTGTCCGTGCGAGGTGTGGGCGCGCCCCTGTGCCATGTCTGCCTACAGCCAATCAGCGAGTAGCATAGTGCCCTGGTGAAGACGAATGGGCGACCACCCAGGAAACTTAACCTCTCCGTCTCACAATCAGCTTGCGTCCATGCATACTCCTGTTGATCTGATTACTGGGCTCCATTGAAGATAGAGTGTTTAGGCAGTGTTCCAGATCGTTATGGTGCCTTGTCTTGAGTTTTTTTAGACATGACTGCCTGGCGGCAGCTAACAAACCAAAAATGGACGACGAGCGTATAATAGAAGCGAAGAGACGAGTCCCAGGAAGCATTCTTGAAGAAGAAGACACGATCGCCGGGACAAAAGCTTTATTAGCCTGACGTTTTGGATTCCTGCTCGAATCCATCATCAGAGACATAAGCAGATAAGGGTGGTTCATGCACATGCGGCTGCAGTATTTATAGGATGCAGTAGCCATGCTACCGCATACCTCTGAATATTCACAGCTCCCTCCCCTTCATCCGCTGAGACTTCGTCTAAGCGGAGTAATTGGCCACGCGGGGAGCGCACTGGTGAACACTCCTCCCAACACCCGGGTCAGCGCCTCAGATGGTCGAGCAATCACCACATCAACATCCAACGCACGTGATGAAATTGCAGCAATTAACGACGCGAATATCGGCCATCACGCCGCGTGCAACGATCCCTGATGAAGGGGAGGGAGCCGTGAATATTCATAGGTATGCGGTAGCATGGCTACTGCATCCTATAAATACTGCAGCCGCATGTGCATGAACCACCCTTATCTGCTTATGTCTCTGATGATGGATTCGAGCAGGAATCCGAAACGTCAGGCTAATAAAGCTCTTGTCCCGGCGATCGTGTCTTCTTATTCAAGACGAGCGTATAGTTTGTACTCGAAGTCAGGAGCAGATAACCTGAGAAGCCTGTCTAACGGGAATGATGGTAAAAGGGGTTATACGGGTGAGGCCATGGGAGGCACGCAAAAGGAAAGGAGAAATAGAAAAGAAAATCACATCGAAAACCTAATGAGCTTAGAAGGTAACCAATAAGCACGCACACAAACTTGAAGTAACCAGAAACGGCAGTCAGGAGAACTTAGACAACTGAATGAGCCGCCATCAACTAAATAACTGAAGTTTAGGTTCCAAGGGAAACAGAAGCCAATGGTAATTGGAAGAAGGCGATAAGCGACGTTCAAATAACGCAGACTGGAAGCTATACCAGGAGACGCACTAACGGATAAGAATTTACAGAAAATGCAGAACAAAAAACAAGAAGTAATTCTAACAAGGTAAGCTAAATGTCGGTAAGAAAGAACAAGAAGAAAAGTCAAGTCTAGTAATTTAAAGAGGCATGACATGCAAATAGATATGAAGTATATGCATAGGAAATAAGTCACGGCACAGAACGTAGAGTTCGGAACGAAAACAAAGACACAACTGGAGTATCGGAGCAAAGAAAGTCAAGCTGTCCATGTCGATGTAAACATCCCTATCTCTAAGTAGGTGGTGGTGTCAATGACAGAGAAATAGCGGTAAACAATAAACTAATCCTTTTTCTAAACGCAAACCGCCACCTAAACGAACTGCAAGACGCAGACCTACTGGAGCCATTTAAAAAGAAAATTACATGAAGGAGGTCCTGTGTCAGGCTGAACTGTTTGGCCAGCATTGGCTTGACTACAAAAACTGCTCATTCGATGCCACATTCTGACAGTCCTCGACGATGGCCTCTCGTAGGAGACCAAAAGCTCAGACTAGTACACTTACTGTTCCAGAGATCGTATGTTCATCTTCTTTACAGATACAATAACGTCTATAGTGTGAACTAAGCATCACCAGCCCAAAACAGGCATGGGAAACCTTTCTGTCCCAATTTGCGGAGGTGTACCACGTGAGGCGGACGAGCAATGGATAAGTCCGATGTAATTGGTACACAAAAGCCAATTTTCTGAGCAGTAAAGAAATCACATTTGTATAAAGTAATTTCCAAAAACTCAGCCTCTGACATGCAATAGATTGCGGACGAAAATTTCGTATGACATCTAACACGTCTGTGGTGAGAAGCACAATAAGAAGTCTGGTTCTCGGGGCGGTTGTTTGCAAGGTTAATATAAGAAGCCGGTGAAACACGTGGAGCAACCGAAAGTCAAGACCTAAGTGGTACACGGGCAAAACGTAACATAATAGAACCTACCCAAATAAATGCAGTAGCGAGTCTTGTATATTATTAGGACTACCCCGGGCATAAACCCTATCCTTACCAAATGGACATCCCAGCCTTCATTGGCTTTGTCGGTATTATTCATTCCCTCCAAACAGTACTGGTCCACCTGCGACCACCACCAGAGCTTTAGACTAAGCGCTGAGGCGCCACGGACGAGCACGTATTACCTTCCTCGTATTATAACCTGCAGAATAGAGAGTTCTGCAAAAACGAGCGATGAGCGTCCCTCTGCCATTGTGTATTCTCTGTCGCAACCGGCAGGACGAGACCATGGCTCAGAGGTTAGAGGCGTTGGATTTTTAACCAACAGGTCACGGGGTCGAGCACCATGTGTCCCACATTTGGGGTTGGGTATGGCTGGCTGACGACGGCTAATAAGCCTGGAATGGCCATTTTAGTCTCCCTTATCTTTATCAGCAATGCTATTTTGCCCAGTGACCCTTTTACCTTCGCGGCTGTCGTCGTCCGATGGACTGATAAGCCGTCGTTGCTCGTGCCAATTGATTTCTGTCTCTGGAGCGTGTCGGAGGACATGTGTCTTATGCTGGTCGTGTGGCCTCCACTGATTCTTTTACCTCTCCCAATGCTGTCGGATGAGCTCTACTGGCACGTACACTGCGTTTGTAGGCATGATACAGGTCCATTACTTGACTAGCTGTGCCAGTGGAGGACCGACTCCCAAAAAGATGGTCATTTTCTCATTTGTTTGGTCATTGAGCCTTGCGATCCCAAAGACGAAACGGTGATTCTGCTATTGCATGCATTCATATGTCAGAGAGTTTATTCTCACCAACACCTGTAAGCAAGTGCGACCGGACTTCTCCCCTTTTAATATGCCTCGCATCATAACTCTGGCATGAGACTTGGGATCGGTAGTGGCTAGCTGACAACGGCCAATAAGCCCGAAATGATCATGCCGGTCACCCTCGTCTTCGTCACTACCTATTTATCTGCATACACTACTAGTCCTTATACGACTGCCCGCGACGGCTCCAGATTGAGCCCCAGAACACGAGACCAGCAGGTCCCGTAAATGGATTGATGAGCGCCCTCTACCATAGTTTATAAACCTGGTTGCCACCAATAGGATAACGAGCGCGAAATCGAGCCCTAGGTGCCGCAAGCCTGAGGTTAGGTATGGCTGTCCGATGACAGCTGATAAGCCAGAATAGGCAATTCCGACCTCCCTTGTAACTGTCAGCGCTCTTCTGTCCTACTCCTTTCATCTAACGGCGGATTGGGGTGGCCCTCATAAAGATTCACGAAGATAACCCGACTCTTCAAGACCCTGAGTCTCGATCTCATGACCTGTCGATTAGAAGCTCATCACCCCAAACGCTGAACCACGGGCTCATTGTCCTGTCAGTTGCGATTTGGTACATACAACGGAAGAGGGACGCCCACCGATCGCATTACGGGAAACAATCGCACTACTTTGTGTCACAGGGCTCAGTTTTGAATCTCGCCGGCAACCGCACACTGGCTATTAGTATAGGCCGAATAACATGACCGACAAAGATGAGGGAGACTGGAATGGCCATTTCTGACTTACCAGCGGTCATCAGTCAGCCGCACCCAGGCCTAGGTTTTGCGACCGCCGAGGCTTGATCCTGTGACCTGTTAGGACGTTGGACTTTAAACCAACGGGTCTTGGCTGGCTGGTGACGGCTAATAAGCCAGAAATGGGCGTTCCGGTCTTTGTCGGTGATCCCCTTCTGCTCTATTTATTTCGTCTGTCGACGGGGTTGGGGCAACCAGCTTGAGGATTCACGAGTGCAACTCGATTTTCCAACAGACCCCCGCCTTTCATTATATGTGCGTATGCTGCATCGTAGACTCTTGGCGAGAGAACTTGGGGCTGTGTACGGGACACGCCCCTTTCGGGTCAGCACGGAAATTCTAATAAACATTTGCGGAATGACCGCGGAATGCTCATTCTCATTCCACGAGCAGTATAACTATATGTATGTTAAGACATCAAAGGCAAGTACCCAGTAGCAAAAGTGTAGGCGTCATCTATAAAGAATGGCAGTTCACAATATACAAAATTTACAGGAGGCACACCGTTATCAATTGCATCCGGGGCAAACAACCCGTGGCGGCATGGAATTCTAAGTACAACTTATAATGGTTACTAACGAATAGTAAGTAGACAATAATCGTTTATATTACACAAATCATGGAATGGGATTCAGGAAGGAATCTGGGGGCCGCGAATCAAATAGTTCCAGGGGGTTGGTAAAGGTGACCGAAGAGGCAACTGCTGGTGTGCCATTAGCGACAGCATTTTTGTACTGTGTGTAGGTAGTTTCTGGAGCTTCCATCTGCGATTTGGCGCCACAACTGCCGATGTCATCTATCATTCTGGACAGTATTGTTTGCTGGTCAGCAGTCCGACCGGGGGGCGACAACGCGTCCCCGACACCGACGGTTTCAGTCCCAGTTCGGGTGGAGCGGGATGACGAAGCCGCGTCAGCGGCGGTGGCAGCAGTTGGAGACAAAGAGACACCGGTCTTGGTAGCGGTGTCCGCCAAAACGGCGTCTATGATGTTGGAGACACGAGCTGCGCGTTCTTCAGATGTCAACTTTTCATGTTTTTCGGGTTTTTCAGGTTTTGTGGCCTTGCCTTTAAAATAAAAGACGGTGCGATTTTAGGAGAGCCAGTACTCATTAGGAGTTGTTAAATGAAACCGATTTGCACAACACTACTTCCTGAGCGTAGAGCGCTGCTCCCGATCGTGGTTGCTGCAAGGCGAGCCACATAAACAAAATACACAGTTATCGATTTCCGACAGCTCAGTGGGAGAGAGAAAGTTGCCGCCTAGTTTTGCACTGGCTAATGGGGCGAGAAAGACTTAGACTTCGGGATGAAATGACCCTAAAGTAACCGCGTAAGATAAAAAACGTTCCTCAAAACAGACGAGTAAAAATAAGTCCTTCTGAAGTAAACAGAAATGTGTACAAAGTAGGATTCCAGGGGTGGAGGCACTAAATAGTGCAGAAGACGCAGAAAACTAAACAAAACGTCGATTATTAAGTGATTTGCCATGCGAGAGCCGGCGAGGGTTTTAAGCCGGAGGCGAGATCTACGACAGCCGACACCAGATAACTTTGAATGCTGACGAGGATCAGCTAGTATGACACGCATCTTAACTGGACCAGGCTTTAAATCTCAGATCATCCTGCCCCGGGAAATAGCATGGCTGCCTGACGTCGGCAAGGTTAGAAAGGTCAACTGTTGTCTTCCTGTCCTTGCCAGTCGAAAACTAGCATATACAACAGTATGCCCCTATTCACATATAAGCCCATTTTGCAGTGCAGGTAGTGTTCGATATCTCGTACGAATTAAGTAAGGTAGGCGTTTGGGGCTTAGTAGTTTTGGTAGAATAGGGTGAAACGGGTTCTGGGTCCTTTTCGCTTGCGCGCGATTTCACCTCAGATTCCTTCCAGAATCCCACTCCACGAGTTGCGTAATATTTATGATTACTGTTTACTTACTATTTATTCGTAGACATTATAGGTTATATTTATTATTCCACGCCGGTTCTTTGTAAAGGCAGGTAATGTTCGATTTCCCGTAAGAATTATGTACGGTAGGCATTTGGAGCTAAGTAGTTTTAGTACAAGAGGGTGAGACAGGTCCCGAGCCCTTTTTGCCTGCGCACGATTCCCCATCCATCAGTAGCGACTAACGGGACGATAAAACTCAAAATGGCGCAACGCCCTTGTCTCTGGCGCCGGTCAGTCGGTAATAGAGTCGCAGCAGATAAGCTTCTGTTCTAGAATCTGCCTCCAGTAAATGGCCTCCCGAGAAAGCCAAACTCAAAATCTTAAACCTCTGTCTCAGGGAGGAAGCATCAGCTTTAAGCTTAATATACTCCTTCGAAGAGGCCGTGACTCTAACCTTCATTCTTACTTGGAATAAACGCATAATCCTAATTTTTACTAAAAAAAACTTATTCTAACTTGTTAAGCTACAAGTTAAGGGGCCAAGTAGAAAGCCAGAGCACTGACTACTCCAATGTTCGGTCCAGAACAAGACCGATTCTAAATCTCGGTGTCAATGTCCCAAGTGACTGTGCAGAATGATTCCAACATGGGGGAGCTAAGAGCGAAATTTGCGTTTAGTAGGTTCTAAAGGAGAGTCATTTGCCGAAAGATAGGACTCGGCGAAAGAAAGCGCCTCCTGATACAATGAGTTTAATGGAGTTTCCGTGCCAAGAAGGGAGGAGGATGCACGACAGATAATTACATACCTTTGGCGAGTCTTTTGATCTTTCGCTTGGCCTCAATCAGGTCCTTCAGCATTTCATCGTAGGGCTCCTCATCGCTGGAGTTGTAGAAACACGTGACATCGTAGTTGCGTTTGTTCTCTGTTCAGGGAGGTAAAATGGTTCAGTTGGAAAGCACAACGAAGACTAATCGATAGTCAGATAAACGAAGAAGGAGTCACACACAGGCATTCCGAGAGGAATGAAGAGGTCAATCAGACGGGAGTATTCCTTAGCAGCCGCTCCAGTCTTCCTTTCTCCCGCTCCTCTTTATCGGTCGATGGCCGCAACAATCATTGACAGGCCACTGACACACGACCACCCCGCCGGCTAGAACTGGGGCCCCTCCTGTCCAGCTGCAGTGACTTTCGGCTGCCCTCACAAACTATTATCACCTCACGCGCGTCTGACGACCTGGCTTGATACCCGAGAGCCCCAGTGATTATGTGTCCCCCTAATCCGTCCAATCTCATGACCAGCACTCAGCCAGTCACCCCCACCTACTGACACAGACATGAACCCCCCGTAAACTACACACCGCGACTGACGCTCTCCATGAACGGACGCTTATCTCTGTTGCATGCAAACAGCAAACTTACGGCAACCTGCCCTGTGTACAGAATAAACTATTCCTCACAGCTCCCTGACTGCTGCCATTAGACGAAACGAACTTATTGTGCGTGGTTTAAGTTGACCCCAAATCCTTGACCGCCACAAATTGGTGACCCCGACGTGATCGACGTGCAATCTCCAGACGCGGCTGAACTGAACTGCTACAAAATTCCCACTCAACCTCGCCCTGCCGTTTTTCCTCTGTCACTCATCGTGCCCATGGATAGGAAAACGCAATTGCGTCACCCTGTCGCGATTCGAGATGGATGTTGTCTACAAAGCTCAGCCATACAAGCCCAGCTGAAACCTCAATCAAACTGTGCAGATCGGACCTTCAAATGTGTTGCCATCTGAACACCTCTCCCTGGTCCGAGACATCCTTCCTCCCATTACCGACGAAACCATCATTAGTGGGTTACCTTCATACACTCAACATACTACCGTTTATACAGCTATGAATTTTCACACTTTCGAAACTGTATTCATTATATCTCAATTTTGTGTCTGGATGACAGTGAGCCTATTTCACTGATGCATTCGTCCGACTCAGAACTCACTGGGACGCCTAGTGTCCGGAACGTTCTTCCGTCTCATACCAACGTGCCAACTCACCGGCACACATTGACGAGACCACACCGGCACCCATGGTTGATGCCTCAACTGCACCTCTGTACAGGTCGTAGCATCCCCACTGGCACGCGGTCCGAGCTACTCCTGTCATCATCGACACACTCTCAAACCCGCATCTGCACTGAGCAATTTCACACATTTCATCGTCTGCCTCACGATCGACACCATCACTTCTTTCTGTGTCTGGCGGGGAGCTGTAGCGGGCAGCCATCATGACCGGTCTGGTGTCATTGTTCAAGACCTCGCTGCCTCAAGGTCATTCACCCCTTGCAGCGAGCCGTCCCACACGAGCTGACCTGAAGCCACTCGACCGACTTCAGCTCGGACACAATTGCGTCCCCCAGTGTCGCGGCCATCGTTAGAAAAAACGGAGCCGCAGAAAAGGAGGACTGGAGCGGAAAATCGTTATCACACAAAAACAGGAGGAAATTTTTCATGTCTTTCGGAGTTGGTCAGCCTCGTCTCCCTTCGCTATTCCAGTCACTTTTTGTGCTTTACACACCATCCACCAAACAGATACCGACAAACAACCGGAGACTGGGAAAATATTCGGCCAAATCAGACAGAACCAAATAAAATTTCGTCAGATTTTCTGCACAGCACAGGCCTTGGTAGAGGACCCAGCCGCTCGAAACGTCTGACAATTGGCGCACTTTCACGGAGTGAGACACACTCCGCTCAGCCAGGGGGCGAAAGAGGTGAAGAAACTTACTTAAGGCTTCGTTTACCAGATGAGGATGCAGGCGTTCTTCTTGTTTGTACTTTTTCTGAAAGGAGACAGAAGGAAAAATTTTGATCGGTGAGTCCGCAATCGTTTGTAAGAAATGAAGAAAAACTGAATGAAAACAAAAAATCGTCCTACCTATTTTAAATTAAATTTCTTGTATAAATACCTAAGTCAGAAGAGTAGGCATGTGACACTTGTTTGCTATGGTTGGAACCTCGCTTGAGACCATTCTGGACGCCTACCAGCAGGACGTTGTCACAGATGACAAATACCACATATGTTAAACAGAAGGACCGTTGAGGTAGTAACAAGCCAGACGCTAACATCCGTTTCGCAGTCATTGGTGGTCGTCAGTACGGCAGGAGTGTAAACTTCTCAAAGGAGTAGGCGCGTGACACTCATATGACGCAGTGATAAGATTACAATAGTTAATATACTCGATCGCAACCGACAAGACGACGAGCCCGTAGATCTGTGGCCAGGGCATTGGACTTCTAACCAACAGCTCGCGGGACCGAGCTCCAGGGGTAGCGCACTTCGGGGTTTGGCATGGCTGACTGACGACAGCTAACAAGCCAGAAATGGCCATTCCAGTCTCCCTTGTCTTTGTCGGTAATATCATTCTACCTATATCATGCGTCGCTGTGCGGCTGCTGGTTGGGCTCGAGAGAGAGTCCATAAGGCACAACGGAACGAGTGAGTTCCGTAAGAACGATCGGTGAGCGCCCCCTACGATCACATATATATATATATGAATAATTTCAGAAATTACTCAGTGCAGGACTTGGAGTAAGGTCTCCGGGACATGACTTTTTAGGGTCAGAACCGAAATTTCAATGAAAAGAGGTCCACTGTAGTTGATTGTCTTCGACTCGAATGTTCATTAAAATTTCGGTTCTGACTCCAAAAAGTCATGTCCCGGAGACCTAACTCCAAGTCCTGCACTGAGTAATTTGGGAAATTAATCACTTGATTATTCTCTGGAGTTCATTTACCAGAAACCGCACAGAGAACGCCGGGGGTCCTACTGAAGATCCAAACCCCTCGCAGCTGTGGCGCGCAGCGGCAGAAAATCGGCGAAACACATGTCTGGGCTTTTAGCAAGTGTCCATGTCGGGAGTACGATATAATGCCTTTACCATATGGATTTCATACTACTCGTAGTACTACTTGTTTGTAGAATGGGCATTACGTGGTTATCGACTTTGGTTCCCCAAGTCGTCCTAGGACGTTAAGTAAGTGTGCGAAACAGTTAACATTTAAACATGCCAAAAATCGATTTGTCCTGTTCTGATTGGCCAATGCCTTTTCCACTTTTCCTTGAGCCTGTTGTACACAGAATCCAATTTTATGTGTCGGTTGATGCATAAGTTATCAGAATGAATGCTCTCTAAAAATTCGCGGCCTTTCCTAGGTGGGTAGACACCTGTAATGCGAATCTTTTTCCGGGCAGGTTTGTGTCCAGTTTCCAGCATGGCAACCTGAAACAAGTGGTCTCGCCTTTTTACGGCCAGTCGATGTTCGTGTATTCGTCTAGAGGCCGATTTTCCAGGTTGACCACAGTAAACCGCATTACAGATGTCGCACGGTATACTTTAGACCAGTTCTTTCTTACTTAAATAGCCGACCGTATCCTTAGGGTGTACATGTTGGTTACGAAGTGTAGTCGTCACTTTGTGCGTCACGTGTATTTGGTGCTTCCTCAGGTGTCTTTATTAGTTCGGGCACATTCTTAATGTACGGAAGTGTTTGCCAGTTCTTGGGTTTACGTGCCTGATCGGAACAAGCTAGTTCCTTGTCCTTTATTTTAAACTCCTGTCGTCTTATGCGTCGGTGTACAAAATATCTAAGATACCCATTCTGGGAAAACAGTTTGAACACATAACTCAGTTCTGTTTGATAGGTTTCGTTGTCAAAACGAGGAGTTTTTGCTCGTTTAAGGCGGCTGTTCACGGCACTCCGTGTGTGAGAGATCGGGTGATTGCTCTCGTAATGTAAACTAATTCCCTCGTAGATTTCCCTGCGGTAAACCGAAGTGTGAAATGTCCCGTCAGGCTTTCTCTCTACGAGGACATCAAGAAACGGGAGTTTGTTGTCAGCCTCTTTCTCGAGTGTGAATGTGATTCCTGGAAGTGTTGAGTTAATAAGGTTGTGGAGTATTTCCTGTTGATCACTTTTAACGATGACAAACGTGTCATCAACGCAAAGTACCCCTAATTTGTGGTCAACTAATGGTAAAGCGATGGCCTCTAATTTCTGCATCGTGACTTCTGCGAGGAAAATGTGCATCCCAAGAAATATAATTGGGAAGATGAAATTCTTCGGGAAACTGTAAATTTTATTGTGCAAATGTTCGAGGCCGGTCCTCCGGCTCGTCGTCAGACTACGGGTGTCCAAAAACAATTAAATCTTTAACTGAGTCCAACAAAGGAGTCTATAATTGGTCAACGTCTGTGTCAATGCGTATTAATCACACTTTGTAACTTCTCCGGGATTGGTTGCGTCAGCTGGAATTTTCCCTTAGCGATTTTGCACGTGCCGATATGCCGATTGATGCATGTCGCGGATCCCAGTTGGATCGCAGTGAACCGGAAACTGGGCCTACCACCATACCCCAATGTTGACATTTGTTATGGGTGCGTATTCCCAATGGTGTCTGCCGAACTCCGATCTATTCCTTGTGTTGGTCCAGCGCAGGTATCGCGTGGACTGCGCCGGGATGGGAAATGTAAAAAAGTAGGCAGCATATTCTACTGTGAGTAACAGCGCCCGAAGGGTGCTACGATGAACTTATTCTATTCTATGTAATTGCGTACTCAATTGTTGATAGTAGACATGTTTTAGTTTTATTGTGCAAACCTTGACAAGCAAGATGCCCGTGTCGAACATGCTAAAAGCACACATTTGTGTCCGCCTAGTAAGTTCGATAGGTGGTGAGTTGATTTTTTTTGTAGAGGTGATTTACGCCGGCTACTGAACAGTGTAAGAGAAGGTCAGGGTAAGCAGAGACGTTACCAGCAGTTGACTCCTTGTCCTGTTGGGAAAGAGTTTGGTCATGCAGTAGAAATCCGTACCGATGGTACTGAGGGCGCGGTAGAAACGAGTGTTCTCCTGACTGTTCCATCGACGACCACGACCGGCCCTGGGACGTCGGAAACTCGAATAACTGGTGAAGTAAATACCCGTCTCCTCCGCCACGTGACGTCTCACTTGACCTTCTAAGGGATCAGGACGCTGGACCTCCAGACTGGTCTCGTCAAGCACTATGTTGCCGTCAGCGTCCAGACGCACCTGCGGCGCGAACGGATCCAGCGTCACGCCCTTCAGGTCCTTTGAGTCGAGTCCAGCGGTGTCGTCGACAGTTGGCAACATCGGGGACTTGCTGTCCGGCTCTGGTTCCTCCAAGGGTGCAGGAGGACTGGCCGGCTTTAGGTCTCGAATTCTGGTGGGTAAGGAGGGAAACCGCTTGAAAAAGAACCAAAGCCTACATATACAAGCTATCAGACAACAAGCGTCGCATTGAGAATGCGACGACACTATCAATGGGGGAGGGAGGGGGGAGGAAAAAAATCAGCGATTTCGCAAAAAAACCAAGGTCGACGGCGTGATGCGGCCCAGTTTCCAAAGGTAGGCGGACTTTGTGCAACTCGGATAAGAGGCAGAGTGGCGCGGCCGTCTAGCTTACTTTCGCACCCAAGGCGAGCCGACATCAGCAAATGAGTTTTTTGCATAGCGTGGATAACGAGATCAACCGCTGCCCACGAGATGAGAAAAGCAGTGGATCCGTTTACGGCGAAGTAAACTTTCGCAGCAAACGCCTAACTCCCTCACCGCACACCCGCAGTGCTCTGATATCTCTCGTAAGGTTAAATCGACAGAAGGTGGGTGTGAGTGCAATAGCTGACCGATGTCAAACAGCCAATCTACGCGCGCCACACACGTCCAGGCTGCATTTGGTGAGGAGCCTCGGGTCTCACAAAGGCAAGAATATCCTGAAGGCCACAATAAGGGGCCCTTGCGACCCGAACTACCGAGTCACACCGTTAGTTGGCGACCTTCCAAGTCAGGGCGCTAAACGTAGCATGATAGACTAGGTATAGCGAGGGGTGCAGTGATTTATCGAGGGGATGAATTTCTCAGTGTCGGCCTCATCCTCTCTTCCTTCTCCCATACACCAAAGGTTCGTTCGGGCTAGGCTCGCTGGGATTTGGATTGGACGCCTTATCTGACTACACTCGCCACAGACACGACCCGGTCCCGACTCTTCGTGCACCACGTCACATCAAATGACTCGCTTTTCACGCGTTTTGCCCATCATACAGGCATTAGCAAACTGAATCGCATGCGTTCTGCAGGGGTGTTGTGTGATGTACTGCAGACAGTAGACGTATGCATCTGTGAGCTAGCAGGATCATGCGTGGCCTAGGGGTGTTTGTAAGAGGGCACAGGCCGTTTCTTTACACGGAAGATTTTTCTTGATAGGCATATGGTCGAAGAGACCCCTTCGGCGTCTGGACGTCACGAGGCAGTCAGTACAGGTGAGACGTGAGTTACGACATGAGTCCACCCGACACACGACAGTTCGACCGTCAATTCCGACGATGTCCACCGTGTGCTACACAGCAAGGTGAAACAGGCACGGTGACTTGTGCGTGAAATTAGTCTAGTGACAGTAGACTTGCGCAGCACCGACCGCGCCCCCTCTTCCTCACTTCCTACCTAGACCCAGTGTCAAGACGGAGTCAAGAAGGCTGAAGGAGTAGGTGGCTGGCGCAGCCGGACCCGCACCTTGGCGTGCCACCACACTCCCTGGTCGACAATGCACATCTGACCAGGATTTTTCACCACCACCACCACCACCACCACCACCACCACCACCACAACAACAACAATAATAACAACAACAACACCCCAACAGGAGTCAGGAGGACGAGGACGATGACTGGGCAGCCATGCCCACTACTTGTGCACCCAGCGGGAGCGCAAGCGCATCTACCGGCGGAGAACCAGGCGTCAGGGCACTGCCACCGCATACCGGGCTGCGAGGGCCATGGTGCGCTGATACTGGCATAGCACACGCTTTAAGATAGTTGACCTGAGTCCACCCACCCCCACCACCGCCTCCTTCATCCTCTCGAGTTGGAGAAATATAAGCTGGCAATTAATTTGACAAACTTCCCGCAGAGCTGCCTGCGACGGGGCGAAAATGGACGGTGGATGGCGTTGTTACGTGAGTACACATTTGCAGAATCGTTAATAAAATACGGAATAAGTATCATTACCCGCTGCAGCTGGGGAACTAGATGAGACCTTAGGTCATCCATGAGTTAGTTTATAGTGGTACTCTCTCCCCTCCTAACTTCTCACCTGTAGCCGGTGTCAAGAGAGTATCAATAGGACAGGAGGCGGGTGAGGAAGCGGGTGCATAGCACGGTCTGGTTGGCATCTTTGTAGTGCCCGGCCATCATGACCGGTCTGGCGTCATTGTTCAAGACTTCGCTGCCTCGAGGTCATTCACGCCTTTGCAGTGAGGCGTTCCAGATGCGTGGACCTGAATTCACACGACCAACAGCTCGGGCATAACTGCGTCCGCACAGCCGCAGCTGCCCATGCGGCCACTTGAACGCGCCACCCCCTGCAACCAACAAAACAAGCCACTGGGACACCACCCCTCGGCAAATGCAACACAAGCTGACTGGACACCACTTGAGCTTGACCCACGAGCCTACAAAAGCGGCTGCCACCACTATATCAGGGACTCTCAGGCCTGACTGGACGCAATCAACACCAGCCCTGGCTTCACCAGTGGCCACTGCCGCCTGAGAGGACAACTCCGGGTTCTGTGCACAATAAACCCCTCATTCTGGTGCCTTCTGTCTTCTGTCCCTTTCAACACTGGGATTCGACCAGGTGGTTGTAGCGCACAGAGCACTTACTCTCACAGCCTGGTCACAACACCAGTCCGAGTTTCTTGGATGCAGCATCAGGCGCCTAACCAGCCAAGACTGGTTTTCACCTTTTAACACATCCTGTAGGAGGAAAAACAGCAGATTGTGAGAGAGGGAGAGAGAGGAGGGCTCACTTGGGCGGAGGCTTGTTAGTGGGCACCCAGTTTAGGAGGGAACGCATGGTGACGGTTGAACGATTCAATGGCTGGTCAATGGGTGGCGGAGGGTCCTCCAAATCCAATCGCTTCCGCCTCGGTTTTGGAATGCTTGGCTAGTGAAAAAAGAGGATGACTTGTCGTCACTTCTGCTGCGAAAGTCAAAATATGCGTGTAAAATCTGGCAAGGAGGACAGTGCAAGATTAGATGCAAAGGGGGGAAGGTATGACTTCGATATACTTTTTTCCGAAATAACTTCGAATATGATGAAGTTGGCGGGGAAAAAAGCAAATTTACTTACTAATCCACCCCACAGGAAAAGAAAGAACGTTCGAAGAATTCGTCGGGAAGATTGTGAAATCGTTACTCGAAGGTTGAGTAATAGGTCAGAAGGAGAGAGAGAGAGGTCATATAACTTATGGCCGTAGGCTCACATACTGGGAGATGGTATGAGCTATCGAAAATATATAAAATATAAAAACTATAAAACCAAAAGACCCGCTGCCACGGCAAGAAACGTCTGGAGTCGTTTATCGGATCTGGTGCAGTTGCAGACGAAGCAACTACGTCGGAGAAACCGAATGACAACTCCGACCGCGAATGACCAAGCATGCTGCGGCGGTGAGGGGAAATGACGCCAGTTCTCAAGTTGCGGCTCATTCGACGAGATCCGGCCACACATTCAAATTCGACGAGGCCGAAATTCTCGCAAAAGGTGACAACAGCGTGAGCCGAGAGCTGCTTGAGTCATGGTTTACTGGTCCCCAGTCCATTAACAAGTGCAATGACATTCCCCTTCCATACTCAGTGCTGAGAATTAGCCTAGGCGGAGTAAATAGCCACGCGGGAAGCGCACAGGTGAATACTTTTCCCAACGCCAGGGTCGGTGCGTCAGATGGTCGAGCAATCATCACACCAACATCCAACGCACGTGATGAGATTGCAGCAATTAACGACGCGAGTGTCGACCCTCAAACAGCCATCACACCACGTGCAACGATCCCCGATGAAGGGGGGAACCGTGAATATTCATAGGCATGGGGTAGCGTGGCGACTGCATCCTATAAATACTGCAGCCCCTTGTGCATGAACCACCCGTATCTGTTTTTTGTCTCTGATGATGGATTCGGACAGGAATCCGAAACGTCAGGCTCATAAAAATCTTGTCCCAACGATCGTGTCTCCTTCTTCATAAACTAGGAGTGCCGTTACGACCAACTTTATCACTGGGGAATTCGTCCCAACGAAGGGAACCCATCCCATGCAGTCTTGCTGTTCATTTGTGCGCAGTCCAACGGATCAAAACCAGAAACCAAAACTAAGAAATTAGGTGATCACGCACTCGGAACCTGTTTGAAGCCATTAGGGTTGAGCGAGCTATTAAATATGTCTAGGAAGAACTTAAAATTCTTACTAAATGGACACAGACGGACGGTGTGGCAGTGGACAGTAGACTACGACGGTCGGTCTCCATGTCAGGCCTTGAGCGAAAATTACCCCAATTCCATGGAAGATAAGCGCAGGAAACGTTCGTTGCAGTCAGCAGCCGGAGACACAAGGCACATACAGGCAAACACCACATTTATGATCGAGCATGAGGAAGGTGAAAAAATGTCTTTGCCGGACGTTGTTGGACGTAGGTGACAAGATGACTCCATTCAGGTGTCATTTTATTGGAGGGCCACTTGGAACAGACAGAACAGGCATTTCACGAGCTTTCTTCTAATTCAGAGATTTAAAAAGCAACTAATGTTATGCCTGCTAAACTAAGCTACTGTGATTTGCTTCACACAGACGATAGATAAAAAGGTCATATCTTTAAGGGAAGGGAGGGTATCCTGAGAAATTGACCGATAAATATAGCTATCTTGGATAGGAAAATCAGATGTAAATGACGGTTCCATAAAGACCTGTGGATTAATCTTCCTAACAACAGCGGCAATGTATCAAATATCGACAAGTGACGGTTCCGATGCAAGATCGAACGAACAACGAGAACCTACTGTACATATAATAATGATTTTTTTAGCGGCGGCAGTTTGCGCCTGGCTCACACTTACCGCTAACTTTTAAACTTTTCGCATTTGCTGATGTAATTGATGACTTTATTTCTGTTTATCGATATGAATAGGGAGCTCAAGGGCGAAAGCCTCATTCCCTTAATAAACTGACTTAAACTGACTTAAATACACCGCTGACAATTAGTCACTACTAAGTTCCACAACGATCATTCAAATTAGGCTGATGAAAGAGGTCTGTCTGTAAAATGCGATTGTGCATGCAAGCACATAGAACGCACGCAAAAGCAGTTGGCGATCTAATTGGCTGCTAAAAATACTGCTGAGAACAGAAAATATCCTGTGAAGAAGCTCGATCACGACGCATCCGGCAAAAAACTTGATGGCCAAGAATGACATTTAAAGTCAGTCCCCTACGTCATTCGGAGAGGGGGCGCTGGGATGGAGGAGAAGGTGAAAGCCAAAAAGAAGCTAGACTAAGTGACTCACTCCCCACTGGCTAATGGAAACAACCTCACGCCTTTTCCTCCCCCTCCAATCCCTCCACGTGACCGACTATCGTCCCATGCTGTGTAACCCGAAGCACAACTCTATCACAGATACCTCCTCGTACCACGCCCACCCGACAGTCTAGCGTTTACGTGCCTATCCCGTCTGATTGTTGTAGGAAGCGTTGGGAAAACTTCACGGCCATGAACATTATGATGGTCAGCTGGGAGCCAAATACCAAAACTTTTAAAGTGAGGCTACCGCCCTACAGAAAGTAAAATATTATCTGAAAATTAAGTGCGGACTGGGTGGGGTGGAAGGAGATAAATTGAATGAGCAGGGAAATCGGCAGTCAATGCGATTTAATGTTGTGTCCAACGGCGTTTTAAGTAAGTTTAAGAAGACCCCTGTTTCTTCGATCGGCTAGATTACTCCGCTTGATCCACTTAGTGGCACAGAAGGCATGTTATTCTCCTCGTACATGTCGTCTTTTTCAGAGGTAAAGAGCCGCGAAAGGCGTGCCGCGCTAACTCGCTTGGTTTGTACCTCTGTTGGATTTGCTGTCTTCAAAAGTCACCACATCACGAATAACAGCTGCATATGCCCTACAATGGTTGGCCGCGTTCTCAGCGATGGCTGCCCGATTGATGTTCTAATAACTAACACCGAATGTCATAAGGCTTAGCGGTCTCCTAGTCTGACTTAACTGCGTCTGTGTAGCTTTAGTTGGCCACCGTGGCTGCGATGGCAACTTTGATTGTGTCATCGACTAGTCCTTTTTCCAGTTGACAGGGTATATACCGAGGCAATTTGGACAGCGAAGTATTTGCTCTCTTCAACGCCCGTTTGAAATTTTGTCCGCATGAGTTGACAGTGTCCCTTAGTAAAATTTACGAATTTTGAGGAAGGCTCAGTCGGTCGTCGTGAGTACCAGACCAAGCGCTAAAAACAGATGATCAAGACTACGGTAGAGGAGGCGCGCCGATCGCGTCAAGGAACTCACTTGATCCGTTTTTGTCTTGAAACTCTCTCTCTTGAGCCCTGTCAGCAGCCGTATAACGGCGCGTGAAGTAAGAATAGCATAACCGAAGAAGACAAGGAAAATACGAGTGACCATTTCGGTATGGTTGGTCGTCATTAGCCAACGATACCCAACTCCGAGAAATGCAATGCCCGGGGCTTGAACTCGCGATCTGTTGGTTAGAAGTCCAACACCCTAACTACTGAGTCAGGGGCTCTTTGTCAGGAATGCTAACAACAAAGAGGGCCCGCATCGACCGCGTTACGGAATTCACTCGTCTTATGCAATAACTGAACTGAACGGTAACTTGTATAGCTGTCAGGAAAATATCCGTCAATCTACCCTGCATTTGACATATCCAACACCTATGACGCTTTTTTGTACGGCCTTGGTTCTAGAGGGCTAAGTGAGGTGTCACGGATGGAAGCGAATATGAGAGTCCAAGGTTGTGAAGAAAATGGATGCGCTGGACACTGTGACAGTACGTGTATCAGTCCAAATATTCGGGCTCGTGAAGAAGGCCAGCGTCCGAGGCTACGAGAATGCGGCGTTCTTACAACAGCAACGTAAAGAAAAATCACGCTTCGGCGTGCTTCACAAAAGTCTTTTATCGACAATTCGATAATGAAATATTTCGAGCTCTGCGATTGCATTAGAATCTCAAAATGCCTAATTCGATCGCAAGCGATCACGTACAGGTTAAATATGCTAAATTCATTCTATAAACTAGCAAAATTGACGATTTTTGAACACCCGGGACATTATTTTCCAGCACTTTTCCGAAGAGGAATGCTCTTAATGAGTTTCACGCCGATAGGCTTGTTATTCGGGGGATACTGCAACATAGGCTGAATATTGCAAAAATCAATCTCCAGGATACACCAACAGGTTTGTGTACAGTTTCGAATAGAACAGATGGGGGTGGGGGAGGGAGAGAGCAAGGAGAAAGTTAATATGCGTGGAGACTTGGCACATACCGTTAACCCAACAAGAGACTAGACTTTGACGCAAAAATATTCACGTGAAATACAAGTTAAGCATTTGGTTGCAGTAAAAAAATTACCTACTTATACCTTTTTCTAGTTCCCAACAGTAAACTGGATGGTTTGGTGTAGTTCGAGATGCAAAAATAAAGACTCGATGAATGCAAAATTTGTTTCGGCGGTATTCTATGAATTTTCAGACAATCTGTTGTGTGAAATCAATAAGTTATTTGCACGCTACCGGCTGCAGATTCAATTCCTCTTTAAATATTACTTCCACCAGTATCAATTCATTTTCTGAAAATTAGCAATGGTACGCCAGACGAAGCAAATTCCACTAAGAAGTAATTAGCTATTGTGCCAAAGAATGAAAGAAATGCCGATCAAAACTGATTCCTAACGGATAAGGGGCGTATAAACTAAAGAGCACTGGTAATGACGACGAATACTTATCGGACAATAAAGCTGGTAAAAATTACGCATACCACCAGCTATTCCACACAGAGATTTACTTTACATGTCAGTCGAGAAAACAAACTCCACGACACTAACTCATTAGGTCCCGCATTGTGTTGGCGTGGTGTATGTGGCAGAGATACTCTTTTGCTTAAATTTGTAGAAAAAGTGCGGGTTTTCAAATACCGATTAAGGTGAAAATTAAACCTCACCGTTTTAGGAAGTACGGTTGGATGGAAGGAATTGTTGCGTTTGACGAAATTGTAATGTGCCTTACCATGGCTGGAAAGCCCCTCAAAGATGGCATGTATTGGATAGTAGTGTCCATCTGGATAGTCTCTTTTTCAAATTTTATTACGAATAAAACCACCACCACTACCACCATCATCCTGACTGTTCGAATCTTCAAGCGGAGATGTCAGACAACAGGTAATTCACTATCTGAATGCTTGCATGGTTTACGCACATCTTGCTTTTCATCTAAACGTGCTATAACAGTTCTTAAGAACTGTAAAGGAAAAGATAACTGAATTGTGGGACAGACCTTTGCACAAATGGTGTATAAGGCACATGAACAACAACTCACTGTCGCTATCAGGGAAAGATAGACAATAAAAATCAGAAAAGAAAAGGCTGCTGTGAAAATCAAACGGCTGAAAAGAGATAACTAACATTCATACCCGTTTCGTTTCAAATAACTCAATGGGACAGAGTGGGTCCGACTGATACGTTATGGAAACCTCCGAGATAGTGTCGTCTATATCGACATTGGCTCTTCAACTAGTCAGGTGAAGGAAGAGACTTACATGGGTTCCTCGGCTGGTATCTGATTATCCTCACTTAAACCACTCCTAAAATTTATATATAAATGGAAGAAACAACTTTTCACTAGGTTTAACTTCGTCGGCCTGCAGGGGTGGCTTGGCAGGACTCTTGACTTCATTTTGTGCTGTGGGCAAAACTGAAACTGCCGTGGTACTTTTTTCGGAGTTTTCGTCGTTTTTTCTAAAAAAATATTAGGGAAAATGTACTAACGCAGTTTTTTGTGATGCTAAGTTTCCAATACGGGGCTTAAAGATCTTTGGCATCTTATATCAGGTGGCCCTATAGGGTACTTAAGCTTCTTTTAAAAAAGGTCGTATAGTTGTGGTGGGGCGCAGTGCAAAGGGTGGACCGCAAGGCCTGGACACCTAAATTGTGTGCCATTTCTCTGAGTTGATCCGATCAAAACTACCAAAAGCCAAACTTGAAAGCATCGAATAGATAAAGTTAAAAGCCTATCTAAGCAGAAAAAATGTACATGAACCGTAAAGGCTTGAAACAAAACCGACTGAACACACGTGTAAAGACTTAAAGATACAACTAGAATCGGATACAAGAAATTTGCATTCTATCAAAAAGAAGGAAGCACCTTTAAATTTGTCGGAATATGTGGAGTTTTCTTTTGTCCAGTGCATACGCCAGATTATTGGCTATGCCGTGAAAGGGCTTTTGCTGTAACTACTCAAGCTCAAGCAAGCGACGAAAAGTGGGCTCAAGTGGACGAAAAGTGGACCCAGCCGTGACTTGCACTTGACTCGGTCTATAGTAAAGCTGTTCTGACGTTCGCGAGCGCTTCCACACAACATTTCGTGCTTTTGGACGACGCTTTGGAGATTCTTCATATAATTATGTTATGGGCGATTGCATATATTTCTGTGGCTTTTAACGAGCCTGAACGAACTGTAAAGGCAGAGGGCCACAGTAACTCGAGGACTTGGATGCCTACCAATTGTAGAGGACGGATCCCGACACTGATTCTTGCTTGCTGTAGAAAATGCACAAGACCTTTTTTTCAGTTTGTTGTTCTCAGGGGCGACTTCAGTGCACATAGAATCTGCTAAATAAATGCAACTTGGTATATTTAAGAGATTTAGACATTAACTTTGATGACCCTATTAGAAACAGTACGTAGAATACTTAGGTCCAAAAACATAGGTAAACGAAGTGCTCTAAACAAATGTGCCTGAAGCTATTAAGGATCTGGGTGCATCATACACCAAGAGTCTTGATCTGTCGGACCACCGCGCCCTGATAGTCTCCAAAGCACGTAGAACGACCGGATTTATCCACCGAAACTTTAAAACCAGCGATATTAGAATGTGCCTTTATTAAATGTACATAATACCTAGTCTGGAATACTGTTCGTTTTTATTTAGCTTCATACGAGTTATTGAGCCGAAGAAAACTGAATCCGTCATGCATTATTTTACCAAGAGAGTTTTAGCCCCGGAACACCGACATTTGTCATACTAAGAACGTTGCTGACTTACAGGCCTTGGCCATTTGTGGTTTCGTAGGTTACAAAAAGGACTAATTTTACTATTTTAGCTTTTATATAAGCGTACCTTTAAACCACTCACTACTTTAAGACACCTTTTACAACCCCGACGTAACAGTCACCGTGGGGTCTTTTTATTTTTTCCTCTGACACGTACCGTTAAATATCGTAAGTTCTTTTCTGTGAACAATAGTGCTATTTGGAATAAATTATCAAGGAGTGTGAAAGTTCCGCAAAATTATTTTTTGTTTAAGATAATTATTACTCGTCCAGCGGCAGAAATGTAAGTGTTTGCTTAACGTAGACGCAACTGCCTCCACCACGGCTGTCTTGACGATCACTTCGAATGCAAGTATAGCTTAGATGAGTGGGTTCGGATTCAGCTACGGAGGTTAATGCTCATGTCTCGGTTACTAAGACAATATCTGGGCAATGGGCGAACACCAGGATCGGATGCAGAGGCATCTTATTTAGCAAAGAGCTGGCATTTAGAAAAAAAGTTTAAGAGGAAGGACCGTTTGTTTCTGATGGAGCTGAGCTACGTCGTAAAGTGCTTGGCTGTCCACGGAACATATGGTCTGGATGCCCCTACCCGGTTCTGCAAAAAATTTTGTGACATGAAAAGAGTCTAACGTGAATAAAGAGGAGTAGGATATGGGGGATTAAATGTCCGCCAAGAAAGCTGATTACTGTCGTTAGCTGGCTGATTTCCTACTGGGAATCCACAGGCGGAATACTGTAACGTATTCCCGCCGAAATGAATCTGTGGATCGGGCGATTTTACTGTCCCCGTATGAACATTTGCATGAGAATTCTATTGGCTTACGTGAAAGCAGATGGCTCCGAGTAGTGAGAGGCCTAAACTAGGTTGGGTGATAAGTGACTGGGGGCGACTAATGTTTGAACTATTTATAGAATATATAATATGACTTGGATAAGTATCCGGTCTGCGGGGGAGAGAGAATTACTTGGGGGTATAATTGGAGCAACGTGGTTTATAGACAAGCTCTGACTTAAAGGTTTAGTAAATCTAAGATGAGGTTGTATACTAGTGAATGAACTTATGATAACTTTCTTTTGTGTCAGAATCGGATTTCGCTGTTGGATCTTATCGTTCTGACGTCATGTCGCAGGTGATTTAAATTGAGAACTCGGAGGATCCTGTGAAAGTGGGAGAGCTATCGTTCCAGCTGAGGTAGAGGAAGGCCATTCAGAGGACAAGGGACGGCAACTGATGCTGCTGCAAGCTTAGAGGCCGGAGAAGGCTTTAAGTGGCTTGAGTGGATGGGAGATAATAATAATATTTTATTTAATACCAGCTTACAGGCATTGTCAAGGGAAGCGTTAAACATAAATCCGACCGGCAGTGAAAAAACTCCTGAGCTAAAGTGATAAAAATACAGTTGATGGTGGTTTTTATGGTTTGGAGGGCTCAGGAGAAAAAACTGCCGGCGGTGGTAGAATATCGACCGTCAAGAAGGGGGGAGGTTGCACGGTATCGGAGATTTTCGGACGTCAAATTCCTTTCATGAAGTTGGGGATAGCCAAAGTAGAGGCGTTTAGGAACAGCTGGTGAGACCGGCCATAGTGTTCAGAGACCACAAACGCCATCGCTACGGTACAGTCGATCAGTGGATTCAGCACCCAAAATTTGTGGGAGCTTTTCTGAATGCAAAAATCGAGTAATAGTTCTCTTAAATAAA